GACTAGCAAAGAATTATTCTCCGAAAGAGTTTGATAGAGTCCATGGAGAAGGAAGTGCCAATATTGGATTGCATTATGGAAGATGCAACGATGTAATGAAAGGATCATTAGGAGAAATAAACTAATAAAACAAATAGCTAATTAAAGATTTAGGTTCTCTGCAGCTCCAAAATGAGCATATACACCATTTTAAATATCTTGGGTCTATTGTTCAAAGTGATGGTGAAATAGATGGGGATATTATTAGCATAATCCAAGTTGGATGGTTGAAATGGAGGAATGCATTAGGCTTGTTGTGTGATAGTAATCCCCTCAAACTTAAGGGAAAATTTTATAAGATAGCGGTGAGACCTGCAATGTTTTATGGTGCAAAATGTTGGCCATTAAAAGCGAAGCATAATATTAAGTTAAGTGTTGCATAGATAAGGATGCTCAGGCGGATGAGTGGCTTTACTCTTAGAGACATGAAACGAAATGAGCATATACATGAAAAGGTTGGAGTAGCTCCAGTGGAAGATAAGATTAGAAAGAGTTGCCTTAGATGGTTTGGTCACATAAAGTGACGGCCTTCCGATGATCCAGTTAGATAGATGTATTAGATTTGGCCCATGTTAAGAAAGGTAGAGGTAGACCTAAAGAGACTTGGTTAGAAAATATTAGAAATGACATTTCTTTTTTAGATTTAAATGAGAATTTGATTCTTAATAAGACACAATAGAGAAAAATGATTCGTGTAGCCGACCCACATCGCGGGATAAAGGCTTGATGTTGTTGTTGTTGTTGTGCTCTGTAGCTCCAAGTGTCATAAACATATAAGATTTTGGCAATGTGAAATATCAATGGATTTGGAGATGATGATAATGATGATGACACAAATTCAATCTCCAATGGTCGTTGATGTAAGAGTTGGCCAAGGGGTGCAAGTGATACAATTAATGTGATGCAAGTGTACATACTCAACCCATTCAATAAGTAGGCTAATTACATTTCTAGTAGATGTAAGACTTGGCCTAGGGGTATTATATAAAAGATTAACTACTTACCTAGAGTGATAATACTCCTTTAGCTAATGATAAGATGAAACTTGTTCAGCAAATGGTAAAATGAAACTAGTGAACTTCAAAAGTAATCCTAGACTACCTTGTCCTTAAACTTGCATGAATATTTTTTTTTCTTCTATTCTTATTACTAGTGGATTTTCTTAACACGTTTCTTTTTTTGGCTTGTTGTAAAACACTAGTATCATTTATTTCGTGGCAGTTTGTTGCAGATAGAGCTTAGTTTTAGCAGATGTTGATCATCTGTTTAATATACCTTTTTGCTACTTCCAAATCATAAACCTATGGAATAAAACCCATTCTTAATGTATTTCTCCACTTCTTAGTTTTAATATTTATTTGTTATTCTATGAAATGCATTCCATACTTGTCCAATTAATTTCTCTCCCTCCTATCCTACTCTCTTTCTAAAGTGCATGTTTATTAAGAATATCTAAAAAAATTAGATCATTGCGAGCACTAAATTTTTGTGCGAGAAAAGAACCAAAATGTTTCCTCAACTCTTTGTGAGGGATCAAAATGGTCTACAACCCTTTTGAGGGACCAATTTGGTCCCTCATCTCATTAAAATTGGAACTTTTTAGTCATAACATCCAATATTGGAGTTAATGGTATTAATTATAAGGGCATTTTGGTCCATCCACAAGTAAATTTCAAAATTAACATTCTTTATTAGCCATGCACAAGTAAATAACATCTAAATCATAAAGTCTTAGGTAGGGGTGTCAAAATGGGTTTTTGGGCCGGGTTCAGGTCCAACTTGAAATTAACATGCCTTCAACTAATCCAACATGAACCCGGCCCAATTAGGCAAATGGGTCAAGAATTCAAACTCGATTCCGACCCGTCGGATTGCTGGGTTGACCCAACATGACCCTCTAACCTGGGTTCCGAGCAGGGCATCAAACCAATGAGGATGGGGGCGACTGGGTGTCACAATCAGGCTCGGAGAATCGAATTAACAAGGCAGGAATCAACAGTTGAATCATAAATTCATTTTTTCACAATTATATATAACAATAATTACTAATGTTCCTCGAATCCTGAAGAGCTACTAACATTACTTGTACATTGAATATGCATTTAAACATAAACACATTTTACCTGCTTTCATTTTAACGTCGTTTTCTGTAGACATAATCCTCTCTTCTTTCTGTCATTTCTATTTGTCAGGAGACTTACCTGAAAGTTTAGTTTTAATAGTTTGAGTTTAAATTGGGAACTCAATGGGTAATCATGCATGTAACATAAATTTTTTGTATACATAAAAAAATGAATATGAATATGTTCCTTTGGCTTTCTTTTTCTTTTGCATTTATGGTATTTCATATATAACAGTTAGGTATACAAAATAAAGCATACTTGTTTTTGCGTTTCTTACACAAATTACTTTTCATTAATTTTCTTTTATCTATTTCCATATTTATTCCATTTTCATTTCCATTAGTACAGGAACACCGTCTAAATGTATCTATAAAGGTACAATCATTTTTACACGGATACATTGCTTCCCCCGTCAATATCATACGTAGGTAAACTCATGTACTTTGCATGCATATTTCTTTTCATTTTTCCAAAATATACTTTAATTTACATTTTATAAATTATTTCATTTATTTCATTTTCCTATCATATATCTTTATATGTATTTTAAATATATATATATATATATATTCTACCATATACACTTTCAAATTCATTTTCTTCTTCTTTTACATATGTTTTAAATCAATATATACTCCTTTTACATATTCATATATATCTATACTATCATATTATTTGATGTACATTTCTCTATCATACTCATTTAAATGTCAAAATTGTTTTACACATAATAACATCCAAATATAAGTAAAATAATTATATAAAACATTACCTTTAAAATCTAAATGGAAATACAACAATAAATTTTTTTCACAACTGTAATTACCTACTTTGAATGTTTTGGCTTCAGCTCCTTTCAGATCTTCGACTTTTGAGATAATCTTCCTTACTACAATCTAAATGCACATACAAACATATAACTATTATCACTGTTCTCATATAAATATTTCTTTAATAAATTCTTTCCTCTAATCTCCTTTTTCAGATATGTTATTAGCTTCAATTGTCACCTTTGTACATTAGGTTAACCGATTCTCCACTGTTCCAAAATGCCTTTAATTTGCATTAATCATTGCTAATGATAATATTAAGTTATTCACTGATATGATTAGAACATCTATTGAAAATCTCATGCAATTATAATTACCTCAATAAGTTTTCTTTTCTTTCACTTTGAATCAAGATACTCCCTATCACGACCCGATCCGATTAGCCCGAGTTAACGAGACGGGAATAGACGGACGCACGGAAAACATTTAAAACTTTCATTTCACAAATAACATAAACAAAATAATAATCCAATTACAAAATAGGAAAGAATTGTTAAACTTCCACTTCAACCATCATTATTACATCAAAACAAACAATCTCTCATAAACATAAAACAAAACTACTACAGTAATCCCCAACACATAAACTGACACATGACTTAACATAACCATAAGAACATGTTTCCTTGCACTGCTCTACACTGGTATGTAACAAGTCTATCTGCCTTCAGTCTTTAGCAGGTTCTTTTGAAAAGTATTCCCACAAATAGGGATGAACTAACAATCAACAAGTAATAAATATCTCTATTAAATTCATAAGTCGAAGGAATAAGAAACATTATGCAATGAAATTTTCATATGACAAGATTGAAATAACTTTGAGAAAAGTAGTATTATAATGTCAAGAATTGATTTTAAGTATGCCTATTTCATATATCATTGTGAATGCCCGTTTCTCTTTAATCATAACATACAATCATAACTTTTTCATTTTTCATTTTTTTTGCTTAAATTTTCCTTTATTATTCTTATATGTATAGAAGCATAGAATAGTTAGTCTTAGTTTTATACATCCGTTCTGGAAGTATTAATATTTTTGTACTGATCAGGTACACATTCAAATTTGGCCAAATATTTTATTTCATTTACTTCGAAGAGTCCTTTACCAATTGCTCCGAGGAGCCCTTTACCATTTGCTCCGAAGAGCCCTTTACCATTTGGTACTCTAGATCATCATCATATCATTCAATGCTTATAATAGGAATATTAAATCATTCAGGATTTTTTCGGGTCAGGTTCGGGTTGTGTTTTGGGTCGTGTCAAAAATTGACACCCCTACTCTTCTCTTGCATTCGGTCAAAAGTAACGACCGAATGGTTTCGGTCCCTTAATGCTTTGGGTAGTTAGGGATTGCGAAAGGATAAAAATACCCTTGCATGGCTTAAGTATATTTAGAACTAGGAAGGACTATTAAGTCATTTTCTCTTAAATAATCTTCACTGAATTTTAATTCCAAAACTATGTGAAATTTACCCTATATTCTTTATATCAATTCGCTCGATATTTCGTATAGATTTCTATAAAATTGATTGAGTCAAATTCTGCAACTTCAAAAATTCGCCTAATTTCATCGGCGCATCGAAATGCGTGCAATGCTTATGATCGACATTTTTTTGGGTTTTACACTCCCCAACCGGATTTCTCTTTCCTATTTGTTAATCACTTATTAAGTTATTAATAAGAGAAAATAAAATATTAATAATTGAATGTAAATGAAAAATAAATTTGCTTCTTCTATCAATAGAAATGAAAATCGACTTATTTGTTGCCCCAAAATTTTCTTCGACTTCCTTTTTCAATTCCTTATTCTATCTCCCTTTAATATAAATTATTTATTATTAGGATAAATCACAGAAGAAAAAAAATGTCAAAAGAAATGAATTTGAAAAATTTACTTTCATTCTTCTTCCTCTCAGCCAATTCTCTCGATAACAACTTTCTAACGCGATTTGCTTTTTAAGGAGTGAGCGAACTGTAGTTATTTCACGAGAGTAGTTGTTTTATTTAGTTCCCTTATGCATTACGTGCGCTCCTCTTAGGCCGCGCCTCCGCTCCAATTTATGCTCGTTTGTCCCTCTGTTATCGGAAAGAAGCCGGTTCAATTGAACCGGCTAAACCGGTTCTCACATTAGGGGAGCTTGGGTGTGAGGTGCGTGATGTGCGCGGGTGTGAGCTGTCTGATCTGAGAGCAAGGCCAACTGCGTGGTGCGACCGTGGGTGCGACCGTGCAGGATGTGTGCGAGTGCATGTGCTGGGTGCGAGCGTAGTTGTTGTGCAGGTCGGGTGCGGGTGTAGGAACAAGGGTACTAGTTAGAACTCGGGTCAAATTTGGGTTAGCGGGTTAACCCGGACCCGGCCTGATTTTTCAAACGAGTTATAGATTGGAACTCAAACCCGACCCATTTGTTAAACGAGTTGATCCGAACCCTATTTTTCAGGTCGGGTTCGGGTCTGGTCAATAATTGACACCCCTAGTATTAGCTCCTTATCTTTTTTTTTTTCTTTTGGTGATTTTTCTTCTTCTCCTTGGTCCATTCTTTATAATAGATTCCCAATCTCTCCTTGTTCTCAAGTATGAAGATATAATTGGTTTGATTGAGAGGAGAGAGTGATGGTCCTTGGAGAGAGATTGTGGAGGCTAAATTTTATCTCATGATTTGTTGACATACTTTTTGTTATATTGAAACTGAGAGTTAAAATAATAGCTTACTGCATGTATGTGCCAATGAATTTGTAACTTCTACCTTTCATCAATAATATTCTAAATTTCTTTATAGTTGTTGAATTAAAAAAAAAAAAGAAAGGGGAAAATCGAACAGGAGGGTCGTTTTGAAGCAATGCACTGTTAACGCTCGTTTCACATTCTGTTAAATATAAAAATCCGAAGAAACGAAAAAAATAACTAACTCTTGTTCAGTTTGGTTTCACGCTCTGTTCTGTTCCAGTCTCATGTCGTTTGTTTCCCACACAATTAAAATCCCATAGCCACTAGTTTACCTGTGCAGCTTGAGTTCGGTGAGCCCAAACCCCCTTCACGCTTCGTTCCGAGCGATTCTAGACTACGTTCTTGACCCTGTCGCCCGCAAACATACACGCATGCTTGCGCCTCGTCCTCTGCTCGGTCTGCTATGACTCACAAATACGTCCGGCCCGACTCCCACCTCCTCCCTACCTATGATCCCGCACGAAGTCATGCGAGCCGACCACCCATCTAACTTCAACAACCAATTGCACGATTCACAACACCGCCTATGCGGCACTAGTCAGCCTGCTTGTGTCTACTATTTCTTCCGAGGTACTGATGTTTGTATACGACCCCAACACACACAAACTCGAGCGGGTTTGTCCCTCCATCTGTATACGACCCCAACGCACATGAACTCCCTCGGTGCATTTGTCTTACCCACATGAACTGCTCGTCTACTCCAGTGCACAACTATTCTTACTCTGGGCAATTGATGCAATCAAAAAGATCGCAAAATATATACAAACTAGGTGATTCTTTGAGAATAAGAAAATACACAAATTACCACATTTATACAAAACACAATACAACTTTATAACATAAAGATCACACTTACAAACTTATGAAATAAAACTCCTAAACTTGCTTTTCATTCATCAAGAAGAAATATACAAATGAGGTGTTCACTTGCGGAGAGAAGAAAGAGATAAGAAGTCCGAGAAGAAGTCGAAGAGAGGACAAGCTCGCAAGCTTTCCCAAGAAGAAGAGATAAGGAACAAGCTCACAAGCTTTTCCTACAAAAACCCTCAAGTTTTTAGCTCTCCAAAAATAATTTCATAAACTCCTTTTTTATCAACAAAACATCACATATATATAGGAGAAAAGGGGTAGCCAAACAGCCAAAATACTTTCAACCGAACCATCAAGACAGGGAAAACAGAAGGCCAGCAGCCGATCCAGGAGCAGCAGCTGAAGGGCCACACAAGGAATCAGAACAGGCGCCCACAGGGAACCAGAACAGGCAGCTAGGGGAGAAGAACCAACCACGGAGAGAGGAGCCAGGGGAAGGAACCGAAGGGCCACGGAGAGGGGAAAGAAGAGGGGAATGAACACATTAATGAGCTAAAAAGAAGAAGCAGCTCAGCCATAATGAGCTGGAGCCAAGCAGCTCCCCAAAACACAACAAAACCAAACAGCCAAGCCCTAAACCGAGAACCCAACAACAACCAAAAAACAAGGCAAATAATTTGCACCCCCCTTGCCTACATCAGATTCATCCCCGGTTAAAAATGCCCATCTCTTGATGAGGATGCTTTAGATTTTTCCCGATGAGACAAAGGATCCGAATCTAATTCTTGAATCTTGGCCTCATACTTATTCAGGATAATTTCTCTTTCTTGCTTGAATTGGTCCTACAAAAGTTTCTTTTTCTTGCGGAGAGAAGAAAAAGATAAGAAGCCCAAGACGAAGTCGAAGAGAGGACAAGCTCGCAAGCTTTCCTAAGAAGAAGAGATAAGGAACAAGCTTGCAAGCTTTTCCAACAAAAACCCTCAGGTTTTTAGCTCCAAAAATAATTTCATAAACTCCTTTTTTTATCAACAAAACATCGCATATATATAGAAGAAAAGGGGCAGCCAAACAGCCCAAAATACCTCCAACCGAACAATCAAGAGTTAAGACAGGGAAAACAGAAGGCCAGCAGCCGGTCCACGAGCAGTAGCCAAAGGGCTACACAGGGAACCAGAACAGGCGCCCACAGGGAATCGGAACAGGCAGCCCGGGGAGAAGAACCAGCCACGGGGAAGGAACCGAAGGGCCACATAGAGGGGAAAGAAGGGGGGAATGAACACATGAATGAGTTGAAAAGAAGAAGCAGCTCAACCATAATGAGCTCGAGCTAAGCACCTCCCCAAAACACAGCAAAACCGTACAGCCATGCCCCAAACCGAGAACCCAACAACATCCCCAAAACAAGACAAATAATTTGCCCCCCCTCCCCCCGCCCCCTTGCCTACATCAGCAATTCGTTTGTTTATGGCAGTAAGCCCGACAATAAATTCAACATTTTAAAACTTACACTGACGGATGTTTCTCCAAATAGATTTATGAGTCTCTGTTTGAGCAATTACGGTGGCCCCTATTTAATTAAATCATATCCATAAAAAGGTAACGAAGATCTCGTGCCATTGATCTTTGATCTGATGCAGACAAACTAGATTGAAAAGCCAGATAAGGACAACGATGGGCAAAACTATAACCAAACTCGATTCAAATAGTAGCAATCATCTATGACATCCAAAACCGACGGATAAAACGAGAAGAGAGATCAAAAGAAATATAAAAAGACGCTATCCTCAGAACAACCGACAAAATGGTTTCCTCACATGCATCGAAATGTTGGTTAAATAAAGTATGTGCTTAGGGCTAGCAAACCGATGATCCACTACAGCAAGATAGTCCAAACTTCCAACCAAACTCCTCTAGCAAATGCTCCCAAATCAGCCAACAAACACCTACAAAGCTCAAGAAGAAGGATACAAATGGAGTGGAACTTGCGTAGAGAAGAAAGAGGTAAGAAGCCCAGACGAAATAGAGGAGAAGAAGAAGTAGACAAAGCTCTCAAGCTTTTCCAAGAAGAAGAAAACCCTCGGGTTTTTTAAGAGACAAGCTCAACCAAATTCAACAACCTTTGCCTTCAAAAATCATCTACTATGTATAGGCAAGAGAGGGGAACTAAACAGCCATAGCACCTCCAAATAAGCCAATTAGATTTAGGGAAATGAAAGGTCAATAGCCACTACATCAGTTCCCAAACGGCACAACAAAACAGAGAAGAGAATTACGGGAACTAAGCAGGAAATCCACTGAACCGAGCAGACAGCCGCGGAACCGAGCAGCAAACCGCGGAACCAAGCAACCAGCCACGGGAACCAAAGGGGCAAAGGCACGGGAAATCACCCAGCACAGGAAAATGAGAAGACAAAGGGGAGGAGAAGAGGCAAGTCCACTCCAAATTGAATCCATGAATTAAAGCATACCTTTCGAAATAATGAGCTAGGAAGCTCAATAAATCTCCCAATAATTGAACTAAACTTCAGCTCAACATTAATGAGCTAGCATCTTAGAAAATAAAGCTCAACTCCAATAAACCCGCACCTCCCATTATCATCTTCAGCTCAAACCGAGAACCATAAGCCAACCCGAGAACCAACAGCAGCCCAAAAGACCAATCAAGCTAGCAAACCAAAGGCCTACCAAAGCCCAAGCATAACCTACCTTGATCATTGGATGCCTTCCATCATTGGATAGCTAAAAAAAATATAAAACTAAATAAAATACCAATGTTCAATATTTAAAAATGAAAATATAGAAATTATGAATGCATCATGTTCAATATTTAAATTATGTAGTCTTTTTTAATTAATTGATTAATTAATGAATTTAAAATATCATGCATTTAAAAGTTCTTATAACTAATTAATTATTTAAAGAAAGAAAAAAAAATAAATGTTTGCACTAAAAACATCTCATGTACAACGTTCCAAGTGACCTAAATGAAAACTCTAAACAAAGAAAACTCAAACTTAAACTTACAAAATAAATAAAACTTAACTAAGCTACAAACTCCAAACAAGCTTCTAGTTGTGCGGGCTCAAAATTGCTGCAATCATATAAAAATACAAGTTAGATGCTATAAGAAGAAAGTGCTATAACAAAATTACAGTGCTAAAAATAAGGTATTGTAACTAAAAGTACAATGCTAAAATAAAAGAAAAATTGCTGAAGAAAGAAAGAAGAAAGTGTTGAAACAAGAGTAATTGTATTGAGGCAAAAGAAAAGTACAAAAGTCAAGTAACTGCTGTCAAAATTTACTTTAAATCAGATCTATAGGTAGCTTTTAAATGAAACACTAAATCCTAATCTAACTGATCCATTGGGAGAACTTCTAAGTGAAGTGAAGAGCCCTAAATCTAAAATTACAGACAACTTCTAATGGAAGTAATAAGACCTACTTTAAATCAAAACTACAAGCAACTTCCATAGGAAATAATAAGTCTTATTCTTTGGAAAACTTCTAAGAGAAGTGAGAAACCCTAAATTAATCAACAAGCCTTTTCCAACGGACCTCTAATCCAAACTAGAAAGGCAACTTCCAATGGAAGCAGTAAGACATATTCCTAACTTAAATTACAGGCTACTTCTAATAAAAGCTATAAATCTTGTTTTAAATCAAACATATGGGTAACTGCTAAATGGAGTCGTAAGCCCCGACCTAAATTAATCATATGAGCAACTCCTAAGTGGAGCCGTAAGCCTCGTACCAAATCAAACAAACGGGCAACTCCTAAGAAGAGTCGTAAGCCCTGACCTAATGAACTTGGGGGAAAACTAGTTAATTAAAATTCAATCTACCTCAAGAAAAATGAAACCCTAAGCTTGCAAAGACGGGGTTCTTGCCTAGCGCTGTCTTTCTTACACGAACAGTTGTCTTCTCCTCCTAAGTTATTGACAATTATCTCTTTTACTTCATCTATAACATTATATATGAAACTAATAGCAGGCTTTTTCTCAGTATCTATCATCCTCAAAACCAACACCAGTGACCTAGTGATGTTGATAGTATAAATACACTGTCAAAATCTATCATTGAAAATATTCTTCCTAACTTCTTTGCCCTAATATTTTCATTCCCAAGCATAACTCAATAACCGTATTGAGGTAAACATAGCCTCCAAAGGTTGTATTGCCTCTAACATTCTCTATAAAGTCAAATAGGCAGTGACAAATCTTGTTGTTACTCCCTATGCTTCTCTATTTAATTGCTCAAAAACAAAATGCTTCTCTATCATCAATCTTCCTAGAGTAAATCCAAATTTAATTTGCAATTTATGTCATAAGCTATTTTTCATTACCCTTTATAAATTTGATTCTCCTATAATTGCCACAATTTTGAATCTCTTACTCTTAAAAATTTGTATCAGAATACTTTTTCAATAATTTGGCTTTTTCTCAATCCTCAAGATTTCATTATAAATATTTGTTAACCAAATTTTATTCAATATCTCTCATAACTCCCCAACAAAAGTTATAATCTACAGCTATGTTGCATGGATACGCCTATTTATGAGGCATGCTGTATCGGACACGTGTCGGATACGGATACGCCTCCGATACGGCACGCATACGTGTTGGATATGGCCTTGCTGTGTCCAATTAAAATATTATTTAAATTTGATCGGACACGCGTATCAGATACCTGTCCTATTAAAAAAAATAGAGCCACAATTTGACTTTATAGAAGCGGACAGGATCATCCTTCGTCGACAAAGAGGCTTGACGACGCGAGCATTATAGCGACAAAATCCTTCGTCGACGGAGCGACTCGACAACACGAACAGTGAAGACAACGTGAGCATTGAAGGTTCGTTTTCTTCATTCTTCGTTTTCTTAATCGTAGGCTCGGTACTGGAACTTGGTACCGCTCGGTACTCGGTACCGCTCGATACTGGAACTTGGTGCCGCTCAGTACCGGAACTCGGTATCGCTCGGTACTGCTCGGTACAGGTCGAATTCGCCAGTGGGCAGCGCTCCCTTGGACCCCCGGCATAGGCGCAACATATCTACACTTTTAATTAAAAATTTTCATATTTCAAATTCGTGTGGATTAATTTGTGTCGATCCTTCGTAGGATAATGAGCTCTAGTTGTGTAGGAATTGGGTCTACTAATGGTCCAGAGATAAATATTGAAGATAACAAACCTCTGTGGGGTTATGTGATAAAAATAGGTAAAACGTCAGAAGGGGGTGGCAATATTACATTTAAATATATATTTTTGTAATGTCAAATACAAATAATCATATTATAGAGTGAAAGCTCATTTGTTGAAGATTAGTAGTCATGGAATTAAAGTATGCTCGAATATAAGCTCATCACAAATGGCTAAATTGTAAAGAAAAATCAGTGAAGCTAAGCAAATGAGTAAAATAGAGCTTCCAAAATATATTCCACTTCCAAGCACTCATGCTTCATATCCTTCATCATCTTTTTCAATTAGAAGTGATGAAAATACTATTAATAAGGGGCCTTTTCGGATGGAGGGATTTGAACCAAAAAGAAGAAAATATGTTGTAGATAGTGCTTTGAAGAAAGCATTTAATTTATAAATGAGAGAACAACTAGATGGGAAAATATCTAGAATGTTTTACTCAGCTGGACTTCCTTTTAACCTAACAAGGAATCCACATTTCAAGAATGCCTTTACCTATGCATACAATAATAATCTTGCAGGATACGTGCCACCTAGATATAATGTCATTAGAACGAAGTTGTTGCAAAGAGAGAGGGATAATATTGAGAAGTTGCTCGAGCCTACTAGAGGAGTTTGGAAGGGAAAAAGAGTTACTTTGGTTTGTGATGGGTGAACATATTCACAAAGAAGACCACTTATCAACTTCATGTCTGTAACAGAGAGCTATCATATGTTTATCAAAGCTGTAAACAGTGAATGAAAGTACAAGAATAAGTTCTTCATTTCTAATTTAATCAAAGAAGTTATTCTGATGGTGGAGCCTTCAAACATCATCCAGGTCATTACTGATATTGCACCTATTTGTAGAGCTGCAGGTCTACTTGTAGAGCAAGCCTATCCTCATATTTTTTGGACACCATGTGTTGACTAAAAGTCATAAGGGACTAGCACTCCTTAAATAATGGTATGTGTCTAGGAAAGGTCCATGGTCTCTAAGATAAATCCTAGGGTCATTGGTTACTTAGAGTTTAATTTATTTTTATAATTTTAGGTAATTTAGGTTTTGACATTGGGTTTGACTTGATGGGTCCACTACCTACTCACCAAGAAGTATTATAAGGCCTCTGAGAGCTTAATGGGCTTTCTAGGATGGGTTGTTGTTATGTACTTGGGAATCCCCCTAAAAGGGTTCTAGTCACGGTTTCCATATTAAAACAGAAAAATTAAAGTGCTAAGAATGTGTCATAGGAGAAAAATTTACCTCATTCAAAAATGAGGTTAACATACTATATGTTGCAAATCATATACTATGATCATGCCTAATTTCTAATTCAACTATCATTATAATATTCTTAATTCAATTAATTTAAAAATTAAACTAATCTTATTGTATGATACATATAACATTGCATTATACATGATATAATACATAATATAATTTCCTTGATATTATATGATATGCATAGAACACATATAGAGCACTTTCTTGAAATGACAAGTATACTAATACACAAGAAATGTCATATTTATTTATGCTATTCTAGAAGATAGGTGAAGCAAAAGTAATACACCTTTACATTGCTTGGCTCACTCATTAAATCCTAAGTAAATTTCAACATTTTTTATTATTAATTCACAATTTGTTATTTAGTAATTTCAATATTTTTTCATTATTTAATTTTAATATTTTTTGAAGATATTCAACTAAAGAATGACTTCAAGAGGGTCCTCAAAGAGTTTCTCCATAGAAAGATTTAGAAATTTCAAATATGAGGAAGCCATGTTTGAAGCGTTATTTTTCAAATGAGGAAAGAAGAAGTGTCAATATTGAGCTTGCTAAATTTTTTGGTTATTTAGAGGACTTTTGTGACTAATTGTCATTGCGTGATAGGTGGAGAATTGATCCAAAAATGTGGTGGATTATACATGGAGCTTTAGTACATCTACTTCAAACAATCGTCATAAAATTGCTTGGCCAAGTTTCATCCTCATCTTGTTGTGAAAGAAATTGGAGCACATACTCGTTCATCCAATCAATGAAGAGAAATAAAATTACTCCACAACGGGCTGAAGATTTAGTTTATGTGCATACAAACCTTCGCTTTCTCTCAAGGAAAACTCCAACTTATATGGAAGGAGACAACAGGATGTGGGATGTAGCTGGAGATGGATTTGAATCTCTTGAGGATATGGGAATATTAGAAATTGCTAATCTTTCACTTGATGAGCCTGAATTAGAAGCTATGATATTTATTGAAGATGATATAGAAACTCAAAGACAAACCACTGAAGAAGCTAATCATATCATTCCTTATATTAAATGGTTGAAATTTTATGTTTAAATATTTAATGCTTACTTTTATTTTAATTTTTTTTGTCATTTCAAATATTACACTTTGATTACTTTCTTAATTTTTAGGTATTATTTATATATTATAATGCCGTATCCGCGCCGTATCCGTATCCTGTATTTTTAAGAATTGACGTGTCCCGTATCCGTATCGCCGTATCTGTATCGGTGCAACATAGCTCTACAGAAACTTGCCCATACCTTTCTCTTTGTTCTTGAGTTCTTTTCTTGAAACCTCTTCTAATTTCTTTTAATTTATCATCTTTTCCCCAGCAAAATATTGTTTCATGCCCCCTCCCATTAATCTAGCTATATATATATAACATGATATATGAACAGTAATCATACATTTGTTCATAGCAACCTAACAGAAGGCTGATGATGAGATCTTCTTTTATTTAACACGATGGAGCTGCATAACTAAGATAACTTACTTGGATTTTTTTTTTAAATTTTAAATGATGATATTCTATTAATTGATCTCTTGTTGATTGCAGCCTTGTGGTACAAGTTAAACCTCAATTTTATTTCTCTTTCTATTAAATGAGTGAATGCATATTATTTAACATCCATCTATTCTCATTTATTACTAGTTTCACCAAATACTGAGAGTGTAAAATAAAGTAATTATGAGTATGAATAGAGAAGATTTAAAATAAAGTTATTAGGAGTATGAAAAGAGAAGAAATAGAAAAACAGCTAGACAATATTGTTATAAAGCTGGTATGGTTGTCTACATTGTAATTACAATCGAATTTATAGTATTTCTGTATCGTATTTTGTTTGCCAAATTAGAATGAACTTTTTTCTCTCATTTTTGTTCAACTTGAGTATCAATGGAATTTAGATATTCCATCTTTTAACGAAAGTAACATTGCTAGCAGTCTTGGAATTAAGGAAAGCTATTCTTTAATGCATGGATGAACTTTTTCTTACAATTAGTTGTATAAATTAAGTTTAGCTGAAATAAATCTCAACAGCTTGTGCGCAGAAAAAGATTATTTCAATGACTATAATTTTCTTGTGCTATATTACTTGTTTTGATGACCCAATTGTAGTAAACTTTGGAACTATATTTCAATTTCTAGCTACATTGGAACACATAATTTGATTTGATATGTTTGAAGCTGGAGATATGGTTAATGTTCTGTTATGTTTCAGGAAACTGAGGAAGAAGTGGCTGATACAGAACAGGCTGAGAATTGGTTCTCTTTGACTTCTGCCCAACGAATATGTGGTATGTCATATGATTTCCGATAATCGTATCTTATGGCTCTCTGTTTTGGTACCAAAGCTTTCTTTGTAGTTTACACTTTACAAAGTTGTCATGTTCATCGGTTGGTCAACTGTGATTTACTCTGCATTCTGCATGATCATGTAAATATTTATTCTATCGCTATCTGTTTTCTAAGCCAATCTTTCCTTAGCATAATAATTATCGTCCTTTTACTTGCAGGTAGTCATATGAGTTTCCATCTTCTTGTCTGTCTAAACAAACTTGCTATGCTGTAATTCCAATTTGCTCTATCATTAACTTGCTGACTAGTGCATCTTCAACGCCTTCACCTCTTTTATTGTTCTCCTTGAGTCTGTGAGTACACTAGAACATAGATGAACATAATTTTGGTCAATAAAGCTGTGAAATAAATAAAAAATATGAATAGGAGAATCTTATGGCTGTTATTTCTTTCATCAATCTAGTCCAGTTGTTGCCTACTGGCAAGAGTTATGGGTTTTAAGTTTCTCGTGAAATGAATCTACATAAGCAATGATGCGGAGCGTCCTGTTCAAATCGACAGTCATTGTCATAACCTTCATTTCAACTAATGTATGTCTAGATTTATTGAACCTGAGACCCACTAGTTGTACTTGTAATGACAATTGTCATGTGCTAATTGATTTTCTGTAAAGGTGATGTGGTTGTCATTTTTATTATTTTCAGTTCTTTTGATGTATTTGAGTTGTTTAGTTATGGTCATATTAGGTCTCATGCATTATTGGGTTATTGATAGGTTATTGTGTCATGAATTAATGTTTTACAACGCCCTCCCTCCCTCCCTCCCTCCCTCCCTTTTTGAAGCTTCTCGTGATTCTTTGCTTTCTCCACTCATTTATTTCTACTTGTTTCGTCTGCTATCTCTTTGAATTCTCTTTGGTTTTTTCTCCTTTTCTTCGTGACTTTTGGGTTCTCCCCTTCATTATGTAGTCAGCCACCTTTCCATTATTTTACTTTTTATTTTATTTTGGTGTCTTTTGTTCTCCCTCTCTTCATTCCTATATATAGTGGGTCATTTGTATTTAGATCTTCACTTGTCTATGAATGAATACTTGAGTTTTCCACTTGTTCTTGCTCTTGTGTGCTCTTTGCTGGAGTGAAGGATTTCTTTAGTGAAGGCGTGTCTTTTGCTTTGGAGGATTTTCAAGGATTGGAAAGGTTGCTGACGTAACCAAGAACTGCTTGAGATAACCATCTTCTAGTTATCCTCAAGTATTTTTTCTCTAGTATCCTCAGTATTTTTATATAGTAATTTATGTTCTCTTCTCTAATCTCTGATCTAGAGCTTTCACTTGTACTAGGGTAATTGTGATTGACTTAGATTTGTTTGTGATAAAATTAGTTACCTTCAGATCTTTTCTATTGCAAACTACTTTATTTCCTTTTAAATCTGGTGTCCTTCAACTTGTAGTTGTTTTTATTCAAATCAATATAAAATCTAATCTTCAGTTTAAACCTCTTTAAACTCTTATGTGATTGGCTTAAGAATTTTTTCCATATATCTAAGTTTAAATTGAGTTTCTAAGTGAAGGTCAAATAGACCCCACATTAAACATTTAGTTGTCTTGATCCTACCAATGGCTTAGATCTAATCATTGGCATGTTGATCTTAAAATTTCATTGTGCTAAGTTTACTAAGGAAGAAAATAAGACTTAAGATGGTACTTGATTCCTGTTGGTACACCATGAAGAGTTCAACCTAATTTCTAGTCGATGGGGGTAGGTTGTGGCCTTTTGAGGTTATCATACACATTCATGATGAAAAATCATGTTTTTATTCCACTTGTTCCTCTTTGTTTTCTGTTGGTTTTATGCTAGACTTAACCCAAGTACAATTGCCTATTGCTTATGGAAAATTGTTTCCTTGTTGGATGAGCTTAGCAGCAGCAACAACAACACCAAGCCTTTATCTCACTACGTGGGGTCGGCTAAATGAATATCTTTTCTCAATTGTATCGGGTTAAGAGTCAAATTCTCATTTAAATCTAATAAAAAATGTCATTTCTAATATTTTTCTAACCAAGTCTAGTTAGGTCTATATATACCTTTCTTAATATAGGCCAAATCTAATACATCTATCCTCCTAATCGGGTCATTAGATGGCCGACATTTTATATGACCAAACAATCTATGGCGACTCTCTAATCTTATTAGCTGCTACTCCTACCTTTTCATGTATATTATAGTTTTTCATTTTATTTGTAAGAGTGAAGCCACTCATCCACATGAGCATTCTCATCTATGTAGCACTTAATTTTATGCTTCTCTTTTAATGGCCAACATTTTACTCCATAACGCATTGTAAGTATCACCACCATCTTATAGAATTTTCCCTTAAGTTTGAGTTGTACTTTCCTATAACACAATAGGCTCCTATGCATTCATCTACTTCAACCATCTAACTTGAATTCTACTAATAATATCCCCATCGGTTTCACCAGCACTTTGAGCAATAGATCTGAGATATCTAAAGCGTGCTCTCTTGATGCATTTAGATTTTTTTTTTGCATTATTTTTGTTTTGAACAATATTAGTTATGTTTTCTATTTTTTGTTTTATTTTTATGCTATCCAATGATGGTGGTAAATCCAATGATCATGATAGGAATTGGTTTGGGTTATGCTTACCTTGGGTGTGCTGGTTTTGGGGTCCAACTTGTCCTTTGCTGCTATTTGCTGGTTTCTGGTGGGCCTTGGCTGTTAGCGGTTTGAGCTTTGGTTGTTGGAATTCAAGTGGTGCCATTTCATTAATATCAAGTAGTGATGAAGCTCATTATGAGCTGATGTTTAGTAATGAAATTAAAGAGAAAAGGAGCAAGATTTGGTGAGTGGAACTTGTTCTTTCATCTTCCTTTTGTCTCTTGACCTGCTGCAGTTTTCCTGCTGGTTTTCCTCCCACGAAATGCTGCTGACTCTTCGGTTTGCTGCCTTCTTTATTTCCTGTGGTCCCCTTTTTTACCGTGAAATGAAGTTGGCTGCTGGACTCGATATTTACCTGTTTGATTCCTGTGCTTGGCTGTTGGAACCGTGACCTCCTCCTTGAGATTTGTTGTGTCGTTTGGGATTTCTGTACAGAATCTGTTGGATTTTCAATTCCCCATTTTTGTGGAATTGAAGTTTTCTTTTGGGTTGTTTAGTTTCCCTTCTTTTGCCTATATATATGAGATGCTTTGTGATGAAAAGGGTTGGTGAATATTGAGAGCAAAGTTGCTATAACCTGCGGGTTTTTCTTGGAAAAGCTTGAGAGCTTTGTCCATTCCCTCTTCTACCTCTTGGAAGGCTTGCGAGCTTCTCCACCCTTCGTCTGGGCTTCTAACCTCTTTCTTCTCTACGCAAGTTCCACTCCACTTGTATCTTTCTTCTAGTTCCGTTGGTAAAGTTTGTTGGCTGTTTTGGTGGATTTGTTGGCTGTTTTGGTGGCATTTGCTAGAGGAGTTTGGAAGGACGTTGGACCCCTTTGCAGTGGTGGACCATTGGTTTGCATATCTAAACATTATCTGAAATATATATTCCTACAATCGGTGCATGTGAGGAGTCCTCTTGTAGGATGTTCTGAGGATAGCTTTTGTTTGTTTTTTTTAGCTTGTTTCTTTTGCTAACTTTCTTTTGTTTTGGCTTTGTTGGATGATCGCTTCTTTTCTATTCTGAAATTTAGTTGTTTATTTAGCCTATTTTGTTCTCCAAGTGGTGTCTTAAATTTCTAAAGAGCTAGTCTTTATTTTCTTGTTCTCTCTTTGTGTTTTGTTTCAAGTTGAATACATCATCTCTTATTAATGACTTGATTACCCAAAGTCACAACCCCCCAGTAGATCTATTACTTCTAAAATTACACTCTATGTATTTAGTAGATCTACTCAGACGAAAATCTTTAGACTCTAAAGTTGACCTTCTTAATTCAAGTTTACCTTTAACTCTCATGAGCCTATTTATATTTTTCTCAATTTTTTGAGTTTTTACGCCTACACCAATTTTTATAACAAATATTCTTATTTTTAATATTTTCTTGTACATTTTGATTCCACCACCAACTATTTTTACTATTAGGAGCTTTTCATTTTGATACTCCAAGCACATTGTTTGCATTATTCTTAATATCACAAGCTATTTTTACCCACATAATATTAGCTTCCTCAAGCACAATCAAAATCTTAAGATCTTGAATCTTACTCTCTTTTTTTATTTTTATTCATTATTATTATTTTTTTTAATCTTACTCTCAAACATATTTTTGTTAGTATTATTTAAATGTCGCCATCTAATCTTAGGACAACATTTTACTTTATTATTCATATTCTATCCGTTTATCTTAAAGTCTAAAACTAATAAACGATGTCGGGTATATAAAATTTCACTCTGAATAACTTTGTAATCTTTGCAATTTAAATGATCTATTTTTTATATGAAAATAATCAATTTGAGTTTTACTATATCCATTCTTATAAGTGATGAGATGTTCCTCTCTTTCCTTAAATAAGATTTTAACAATTACAAAATTGTATGCTAGGACAAAATCTAATATAGTCATACCATTTTCATTAGTAGCTCCAAACCCATTGCCATCATAAATACTTTTAAAATCTTCTATCTCTCTAGCAACATGTCAATTTAAATCTCCTTCAATAAAATTCTTTCTTTAGGAGATATCTCTTGTATTAATTTTTAGAAGTCATTCTAAATTTTAATTTTAAACACATATTCAAACCTATTTAAGGAGCATAAACACTTATATGTCAATAATCTTAACATCAATAATAATTTTAAAAGCTATAATTCTTTCTTCAATTCTATTAATTTCTATACTTTTATCCTTCAAATTATTATCTATATATACATCTATGTTATTTCTAGTATAACTCTTATATGAATACCATAGTTTAAAATTTTAAATCTTAAATTATCAATCTCCTTAGCCTTCTTTTCAACTCATTGAGTTTCCTGAATACATAAAATATTTAGCTTCCTATGAATCATAATATCTATTAATTCTGATGATTTGTCTGTAAGAGAACCTATTTTTCAACTTCATATTTTAATTCAAGTTTCATGGACTAGCTTCTTTGCCAACATCAATGATGTGGGAACCTTTGCTTATTTTCATCTAGGCGTCGGTGCAGCAGCCTTTGCGCACTTCTTGTTGTATCCAGACCATACAACACGTCGCTTCCAGGAAACGCCCTAACTATAGCACAATGTATTAAATGATTCATGTCATGATTATTTGATAAGTTTTACGCTGGCTGTCAATCACCTAATGCTCAACTCTTCTCATCTTGGGCTTGGGATCTGGCAATGATAGTAATAACAGCTTTTTTTTTTAGTGTTAACAGCTTATTCTTTCACTGGATCAGCCAAGAGCTAGAATGTTGTATGGCCATATAAATCCACTATATGTCAGTTTTATTGATTTAAAATGACCATCTAATGGAGGATTTTTAGCCGCCTTTTGTAATTGTTTTCCGTGTTCATGCAGTAGGGACTTAAGATTCATTTGAAATTTTAGCAGGACTTCAAATCTTTATTTTTCGGTGCCTTCGTATTTTTTTGCATTGTTCTTTCTAGTGCATGGCTTGTGTTTGTTTTCAAGATTTGCAGTTCTAATGTTATGTTTTTATAAATGATTATGCAATTTTCAGTCATTTTTGTTAGAATGTGAAATTCGGGAGTTGAAGTGGATCATTGACGTGAAATGGGATTTTATGCGGGTCATTTGAAAAGCTAAGGCTTTGATTACATTGAGTTAGTGGTGTCTCCTTGTATTAGAGATGCCTGCCACCTATTAGACCCCATTATGGATGATGATCATCTTCTATTCTCAAATGTATCCCACCTTTGCTCTCCCTCCCTCCTCCCATTAAGCACTAACTAAAGAGATTTCATGGTTGCATAACTTATTGGTATGCTTAGTTCTGCTCGAGGGAATCATTTGCAGTGTTCCAATGGATTGCGCATTATTAACTGGTTTCAGTTTTAAGATTTGTGATAGAAATAAAGGCTGCATCACATGACTTTAATTCACACTTTGTTTATTTTCCAGATATGTTTCTTGCATTGGATAAGGATATGAATGGAACGTTAAGTAAGCAGGAGCTCAAGGAGTATGCTGATGGAACATTGACAGAGATATTCATCGAAAGGGGTGAGAAACTGCTACCCAAGCATTGGATTCATAGCATCATATTTTGTGTTTCATGGATGATGATATTGATTATTGTATCTTCTTTCATTCTTAATCTCCTAATTTATGCACTTCTGTTCAAAACTATATACATTTATATTTTCTGTCATATACATTAATAAAACATTTTTCCTGGAGGTTGAATGCATAAACCTAAAGGTAGCTGTGGCTTAACTTTTGCTTTCTTTGACTTTTGACTTACTAGTTTATCTATAACTTTTTAGCTTCCCTAACATGACGTAGCTATGTAGTGCATCTCCACCATTCAATGTTCTCATATTTTATTTTCTGAATTATTTATTGAATTAGAATTTTTAGGACACATCCCATTGCTTGTTATTTAGGAATCAAGTTTATTTTATTTTGTTTTCATTTATTTTATTAGGAAAACAATTTATGTTGGAGAATTTTCTAGCTGAGGACTCCTTGGGGTCACTTTTCAATGGTGAATGAATAATTTCAGAGATTTTCCTACTTCCTTGAGATTTAATGATAAGGTTGCTGGAAACTTTTTCTTTTAGGACTTGCTTGATTGCCCTTGAGAAGAATCATAAGAGAAGTCTGGGAAAGTGGATCACTTCAATTGTTTGGTTGACGATTGAAGTTGAAATTGATCTTTTTCTTATAAAATGACCTGTATAGTTATTAGGCATTTGACTTTAGAGACATGCTTTAAAGTGACATTTTCTGAAGTTATTTTATGCGATACTCTCTTTCATGTGAAATTATAATGCCACTCACACATGCATACATGCATACCTAAAAATACGATAATTTATTTCATTAATGATATATATTAAAAATATATACATTCTATTAATGCATAAATTATTGGTTTATAAATAATCTATTTAGTATATAGTAAGCATTGTATTATATAATAATTTCTTTTAATTTCTTATATGTGCAAAATATTTATGGTATTGTATAGTAATCAATATAAAATATATTATATGCAAAACTAGATATATTTTTTATAATGAATAAATATAGAAATTATAATATTTTATGATGTAGACAAAGGGGGGTCAACTCATGTCCAAAATAAATCAATTTTGGCCTCCCTCGAGTTTACAAGCTCAATAAATTTTGAGCTGGAATTTAGCTCATTTATGAGCTGTTTTTTAGTTCATTTATTGAACTAAAAGTTAGCTCATTATTAGCTAGATTTTAGTTCATTTATTATTTTATTTATGTAGCTTTATCTTTTAAAATTATGTGCTTGGCCTCTTGGGTTCCCGTGCCTTGGCTCCTTGGTTCCCACGGCTGCCTCCTTGGTTCCCACGCCTGCCTCCTTGGTTCTTGCAGTTGCCTCTTCGGTTTCCGGTGCTGGGTGGCCTTTCCCGTCCCTTGATGCCTCGGTTCCGTGCGGGCCTCCTTGGTTCTTGCGGTTCCCTCTTCGGGTTCCGCATGGGCTGCTTTCTTGTGGTTGTTGGGTGGGCTTTTCCGTGGCTTGGTGCTTCGTTTCCGGGAATTAACTGTTGGCTTTTCATATTCCCTATTTAATTAGCTTTTAAATTAATGTTTTGTGGCTATTTGTATTCCCTTCTCATACCTATATATATGAGATGTTTAAGAGTTGTAATGTAATGATATATGATGTGATTTTTAGAAATGTAAAACACACACACACACACACATATATATATATATATATATATATAATCTTATTCTTCTCTTTAAATTTTTTTATTCTCTTTTGTACTTGTGTATCTCATATTCAAGCAATAATAGTTATAGGAGATTTCTTTCTATAGGCTGTATTTTAGCTGCATCTTTGCATATCTTGCATATAAACATATTATTATATTTTCATATAGTTGGATATACAATATCTTCATGACTAATAAGGTTTGGAAGTATGAAAAAAGCGTAAACTTAAAATCAATTTGACAATCTTCAAATATGAAACGTGACAAAATTTGAATAGGTGTGATGAGATTATTAATAACTTAAATCTCTTTTAAAGACAGACAATATTCAATTCTAGTTAAGCCTAGTGCAATACATTTGTATCCAAGTTCTCAATTTGTTAAATCTCTTGTGCTATTAAACTAGCAGCAGAATGTGCAGTTATATCCATTTTGCCATTTAGCTCATATATGAAAGATTATGCTTGCTGCTAATTTAACAGAGAAACTATTTTGATCAATAATTGTTTTAGTAAAACAAGATTTTTTATTGGAAATCCCTTAGATCCTGTTGCATTAAAAATTGATCCTATAAAACATGTAAAGGTAATGAACAAGTTTCTGGTGATGATCTTTATTTCAACTAAAACATTCAGATGCTAGATGGAATTTTTTCATGCACTTTACCCATGCCTGTCTCTACACTAGAACTTCCTCTTGATCCTGAACCCAACTCTGAATATGAGTTCTTCTCAGAATCCAAATTTGAAGCTAAACATGTGACTGAATCTGAAATTGAATCTATATCCTTTTAAGCAGTTTAAATCCGCTGAAGTTGCTGGCCTACTCGAGCAAACTAATTTGAATCACATGGAACTGTGTATTGAAATTTTTCCTTTGAGAATATTTAGCATGCCATTGATTTTTTTTTTTTTAATTTTAGATTACTCGACTAGCAAATTTATAGAAAAATAATCTTATAGAACAGACTGATTTGCATGCATAAGTTCGTAATCTATCTTTTTGATAAACTTTTAAGCATCATTCATTATTTATGCATCATTATGTTAAGTTGTACTATTTATTGATCATATAAAAGAATTGTTTAGCAATCAAAATGAAATCGTCATGCATAATGAAAAAGATGTAATGGTTTCCAACTTTCCGTTGTAGTGATGGTTTTCATTGTAGCGCTTTGGATTACAATGAACAATATTATAGAATAATTTATATTTATCGCACTTGCTAGCTGCACTCCACCTACACGTAGCTACTTATTTGAGCCTCTGGCCCTTGAAAGATTTCTAGGAAACTAGGACCTACTCCATTGATATTTTTATATTAATTCTAGTTTGCTAGAATTTGTTACTCGGTCGAGGAACTTTTGAGCATCAAATACTTTGCTTTATTATTATTATTTGGTTAAGTAATGATCTAGAGAAACACTTTTGCCAGTTCTTCCATAACCTACTTTTTGAACATCAGATGTGATCAAGCTTATTACTTAACCTTCTCAGAAGCTTTGCTCACTAGATTGATGGATGTATTGCCCATTGTTTGATGTTCCATAACTAATGATTTATGATGCTTCTGAGTTTCCTGGGTATATTGCAACCCACTTGCCTGATCAGCTTGCTTTAAAACTCGGTGGTATTTATGATAGTTATCTAGAGCATCTGCACAAACACAACTGAATATTTTTATATTGTATTTTATGAATTATTTCAGGAATTAAAGTTTGTATGGCTTTGATGTTATTTTCCTTGTTATTAATTTGCTCATGCGAGATAATTTTTGTTTTTTTACCTTAGGAGGCATTTCTATTTGAGGATTCCTTAAAGCTATTTTTCAATGGTGACTGATTTATTTATGAGTTTTTCTTTCTATCTTGAGATTTGGTTGCTCTGCTAAAGTTGCATGGTAGTTGTCCTTCCTCTGAATGATTCAGTGAGCATACGCCAAAAAATATTTTTTTTCTTCCTTCTTTTCACATATCTACTTCGTTCATTCAGCTGTGTCTCCTGTCAGAATATCTTTATATGGCTTTTCTGCATGCTTCAATAGCTAGACTTGGCATGCCATTTATTACTTATATCTTATCAAATTACATATTCTAACAACTGTTACTGCAAATAAGATCAAAGCGGCACAATTAAATGGATGTAGTTTTCATTTTAACTTTAATAGGAACAGGACATTTAATTTCTGAAGTTATAATCAATATAATCTTCCGTTGACAGCTGTCACCAATAAAATTAGATTCATACAATCTTGTAGAAAAAAAAATTAGAGATGATAACATAGCCTGCTGCTAAATGTAGCCGTATAGGTTTCTTGATTTTTTTTTTATATTACCTTGAAGTTATAGGTGACAATTTACGCTTGACATGTTTTTTAAAAGTATTTAATTTTAAGTCATTATCTTTCAGTTTTTTGTAACTTCAATTACTCAAATTTACGGGACATTTGAATTGAAGATCATTATTTTGTTTACAATCTTCTCATTTGGGGCATTTGCTTCACTTTGGAAGCTTTATTACTACCCCATATATTTTTTTTATTTATTACGGTTAGCCAGTCCTTAGATGTAATAAATTTGAAAATTTTAAAGTTAGTTAAATATTTATACTTCTGTACGATCTTTTCCTTTTGGGTACTTTGTTTATGAGCTTCTTCCTTTGACAGTTTGGCTGTGGTCAAGCTAAATATTAAGTTATTTGGTACTTGGTTTTATTTCTACTCTTGTCCAGCCTTTGATGAACATGTACGCCGTGGTAAAATGGGAGGGGGTAATGCACGTGAGATGGATTTTGGAAGTTTTCTAGACTTTGTGTTAGCTCTGGAAAACAAAGATACAGCTGAAGGATTAACATACTTGTTCAGATGTCTTGATCTTCATGGAAGAGGTTATCTTACAACTGCTGATATTCATTCTCTTTTCAGGTAATCATTGTGACCTCAATATCTGTCATCTGGTTAATCTTGATTTGTATTTTGTTGCGTAATATGGTTGCTTCTTCGTGCATGCTACATTTCCATTGTTTTTCTATTTTAATACATACTTTAGTGCCCTTTATTTTATAATGCATTGTTGTATGCTGCTTTTTTAATTGATATTTTACCACTCCCATGTAGGCCACAAGCTGTGCACTACTATAATCTCATAGCTTTGTTAAATGTTTCTTATTCATCATTAATGTTTTCCTTTCACTATCTATATAGAGGTTCTTGTAATATAGAATTATGAAGATTGTTATGCACAACATTTGCAAGCAAGAATGCTATAACCTCTCTCCTCTTGTGGTGAAAACCACCCTCTCTCTCTCTCTCTCTCTCTCTTTCTCTCTCTCTCACACACACACACACACACACACTCACACACAGACACACACGCACACATTACCTTACTCCTCTTGGTTGATTCTTCCTTTCACTATCTATAAAATTTAGTGGACTTCTAATAGAAGACTTCCATCTCTCAACTTTTTTAGCAACTCATAGGCAAGTCATTTTCACCATTACCAAGCCATAGCCAAGTTCTTTTAGACGTGAAATTTTGTTCCTCTTTTTATGTCCTCTTCATTTCGTATTTTAAGTAAATGATCCTTAGGTTGAGATCTATGATTTGATCATCATCACTCATCCATATTAAAAACTCGACAAAAAAAAAAAAAAAAAAATACCGACAACAACCATAAAATTTCCTAAAACCCTAAAACTTTATCTGCTCGAGCCCTTCCCTAATTTCATAACCCAAATTTTCCTAGTCACCATTGTTATCCATCAATAAAATCCCCGTAAAATTAGTCGCCACTATTATCCATCAATAAATTCCCCCTAAAATTAGACCCCACCGCAATCTTCAGCCCTTTTATAGAAATGGACCTAAATTAGGAAAGTTGAATATCACGATGTACTCCCAAAATTAAAATCATAAATTCATCCTAATTGAGTCCAAATCCCCATCTAAATCACTATAAGACCTTTCCAAATCTTGCCTAAATGTCCTTCCAAATCAACAAAAATTAAAATCATAATATGTCTAATTGAGTTTTTATCTTTTTTCTTCTATTTTTTCTTTGATAACCTTCAAATCAAGGGGATCTTCCTGCAAATTGTCAAGGAAAGAGAGCAAATATCCTTTAGGGAACCAACCCCACCTCCATTAGCATCCTTTTTCACACCCCAGTTCAACTCCCTTCTAGTCAACCATGAAGCGTAACAAAGGTAGACAATCTAGTCAGACTCATTTCTCATTAACTCTTGACTTAACCAACTATGATCGAGTTAGTGAAAAATTATTTTAATTAGATCGTCAAAAAATATATATCATCATTTAATAGATTCATCATACTCATTAATATATAAACGTGCATGATTTAAGATATCAAAATAAATTAAAGAGCTTATAATACTTTTAGAAAAAATTTATATGTAACTAAAGTCTTTAATTAACATCATATATTTTTTTTTCTATATTACATATCATAACTATACATCCACCCATAATATTGGGGTACATGATAATTGGGTTACCTATCTATGGTCTCACGTGCTCCTTTCCCTTTCTTAAAAAATAATCATCGTAATATCTGATTAGTTAGATGCTCAACGAGATAAATAATTCTAATATAAGGTTCAAACATACAAGAATGATTATGCATGTTGATATTTTGCACTAACATGAGCGTTTCTGATTATAAACACTATTAGCTTAAGATAATGACAACTTTTAAAGTAATTTGGCTTTAGCATTTAAATAAATAAAAGACAAAATTTAAAGCAAATAGCATGAATATAAATAAGAACATGAAATGCATCAGTCAAATTTTAAATCACTTAGTACACTTTACTTATCAATTTACATGCACCACTTTCATTTTTTTATATAATTACTACTCATAAAGTTTGAACAATCTAACATAACAATCATCAATAGCTTCTCCATCTCAAGTTGAACCTTATAGCATTAACTTTTTAGGATCAGTAGGGAATCTTCCTTTTTTCTTATATAGGCACATCTCATCAAAACTTTTACTTCCCTCTGCACAGGTCATCATAGTCTGCCAAGCTATCTCATATGACATGATCTTTCATTAATTTATTTCAATTTAATATCATCATCATTAACATTTAAAATTACATTGCTTAGCATTAATATTCATCTGTTATCACTTAATTTATTTAACATGCATAATAGGTTGACGTGACATGGAAAATTCTACATTTATGTTCTACAATAAACAATTTAAACATTGTTAATTAAAAAAATGTCTTTAAATAAGTGATCCCCTAAAAGTTTATTAGACTTATTAAAATCATCATGTCTTGCTCAATATGAAGAAATAATTACTTGCAATTCAATGAAATTATAGAATTTGATTATTATTAAGTATTAAGAATTATTTTCTCATAATATTAGAGATTGAGTAACTCATCTGAGTTATAGGATCATATTTATGATGAATATTCTGATTTTATCACCGCAATATCTTGTTCTTTTGTAAACATTCTAATAAGAACAATTTTCTTCATTTAAAATAAAATTTTTATTTACCTCGTTGAAACTAAATTAATTAACATAAAAAAAATATTTAACTCAAATTGATTTCTCCTCATTCAAGCCTTCAATCCTTATAAATTCAAATCAAAACTCAATTTGTGAAAGAAAATATTAAAATAGGATTTTTACCAAATGTCATGATTTCTTCTCTTCCTCTTTCTTCTTCTCCCATTTCTTTTTCTTCTTTTATTTTCTTTTTTCTTCTCCATTTAAAATATTAAAACCTCTTTGCTTCTTCCCTTCCTCCTTTTATCTTCTCTTCCTTTGCTTTTCTTTTCTTCTCTTCTCTTCTTCCTCCCCTCTTTTTTATCTTTTTCTTCCCTTTTATGTTTCCTATACCGAACTCCCTTCTCCCTTTTTCTTTTCTTTTTCTTCAGCTCTTCTTCTTCTCCTCCTCATCCTCCTCTTCTTCTCTGCTTCTCTTATTCCTTCTTCCCTTCTTCCCTCCTCCTCCTTCCTTTTTCTCCTTTTTCCTTTTATTCCTTTTCTGTTTCACTACCCGAGAGCTCTCCCACTTTTTTTTTCCTATTTTTCCCTCCAGGTGGCAGTTATGGGATGGAGAATTGAGGATGGCTTAGGCTAGGCTTAGATTATCTTTTAATAGATAAGCTTTAGGAATTTAGTTTGATTTAATACTTCTTATACAGCTGCAAATGCATGCTGCTGGAATTTGGGGACAATTTTGAGATTGCTACAGTAGATTTTTAAAACTTTAGGAAAAAAATTAATTATTTTAGGAAATTACATATCCTGATACGACCTATGTTGCACCGATACACCTATTTTATGAAGGTGTGTTGTATCCGATACACCGATACACGGATACGCCTCCGATACGCCACCGATACGTGTCGGATACGCCAAAGCCGTATCCAATTAAAATACAATTTAATTTCAAAAGGATACGCGTGTCCGTTGAAAAACTAAAAGAAATCCAAAAAAAAGACGCGTCGTATTTACTTCCGTGGCTGCAAGCTTGGTTCTCTCATTTCCGAGATGGATTTGAGTCTCTTGATGATATGGGAGTATTAGAAATTGCTAATCTTTCACTTGAGCCTGAATTAGAAGCTATGATATTTATTGAAGATGATATAGAAGTTCAAAGACAAACCACTGAAGAAGCTAATCATATCATTCCTTCTATTGAATAGTTGAAACTTCATGTGCTAGACAATTTATGTTTATGCTTTTGTTGTTGTACTAGACATTTAATGCTTACTTATATTTTGATATTATAAGCTGCAAGGCTACAAATGATGTTGTTTTCCTTTTTTTTTTGTAATTTCAAATATTATGCTTTGATTGTTTTCTTAATTATTATGTATGATTTATAAATTATAATGTCGTGTCCGCGCCGTACCAGTATCCTGTATTTTTAAGAATTGACATGTCCCGTATCCGTATCGTGTCGTATCCGTGTCGCCGTATCCGTATCGGTGCAACATAGGATAAGACATAGGTATGTCTTTAATATATGCATTTATATATCAAATTGATTGAAAGTGAATATAGAATTTAAATTAAAATTGTTTTCAATGAATTTCAAGATGTGCGAAAAGTAAAGTATAATTTTTAGGTGAAATTTTCATCTTACCTTTTTGAAAATTGGTATGTTACATCCTTGCCACCTCAGTTCAAGGAAACCTCAAGGGGTACTTGCTCTCTTTGGTTCTTTACTCATTCTGGTGAAATGCACCTTTGACAAGCATTTTCTCTCAATACTTCAAGGTCATTTCCCTTGTTTGGTGCCTCATTAGTTTAAATTGTACTGCTATCAGGTTTGTTCTTCATTGAAATCAACTTTTTCTGCATACCTGGAAGCTCTTCGAATTTATATGTTGGATTTCATTCTTTTTTTATTTTTGGAAACTCTGGGACATTTGATTTCCACTTCTTTCTTTATTGATATGGAAATTGCATGTTTTTTAACATTCATTTTGTAGACATTGTAGGCCGATTCATATGTAACCAGTTATGGACATATCTGTAATTATCTGTATTGTTCTATGTTACATGACCGCTTTCTTGTTTTAGCCAACTAAAAGTTGAAGTTTGAGACTTATAATTAGTAATAGTGCTAGCATGAACCCAAATATGTTTCTCAAAAATTACAATAAATAGCAAATAAACACTCGAAAGTTTTTCTGATCTTTATATGAACTTTGATGTGATCGATATTTTTGGTTTTTGTTTTTTGGTTTTGTGACCGATAAAAAATTTATGTTCTTTACTCAATGTTTCATCCAATGCATTTTTCGTCTACCAGCTTTGCCTCTTCTCCTATTTCATGTCATGTCCATGACAAGCTAATGATAGTTATTATCATAAAAGAGTTATAAGAGGAATTTGATAAGCTTGTTTTCCGCGTGAACACCCATCT